CTTAAAATTTATGAAATCGATGTTTTGCAAATGAATATTGAAATGAGCAGTTATTGAAATAGAATTTAGGTAATTCTAGAGTACAGCAATAAACAAAATGTAACTAAGTACTAATTAATAATAGTTTTTTATATTGAAATGAATTCGTAACATCTAGATTTTCTATTAAGAAAATAATCTGGAAAATTAAACTTTCTAAATCAATTTATAATATTTAACATAATGGAGCAATTCTCCCAAAAATCTTGTAAAATAAAAAAAATCGCGACTGACCATAGGCAGTAGCGATTTGCAAAAATTCAATTTTTTTATGTAATTTTATTAAGTTTGTAACATTGTTGCAGTAAATATTATTATTATTATTTAAATAAATCTCTTAAGTAAATAATTTGTATAAAATAACATAAACAAATTGACTAAAAGTTCGTTTAGTTTCAATCATCATTAACAGTTTTTTTTTGTATATATTTTGTATATATAATATAAAATTTTAGAAAAATTATTCTTTTGCAATTTTTTTCATTAGTTTAATAAAGTTGATAATTGTTACATAAACAACAACAAAAAATAATTTAATAAACAAATAAATTTATAATGTTAATGTAACAATTTTAGCGGAAATACCTCGAATAGTGCGGATTCAATCAGTCCGGAAGAAAATTTCAAAATAAACTAAATTTTAATTGATCAAAATAAATTCTAAAATTAATAGTACACAGAATTATTTTTTTTATACATAATTGTAGAATCAAGTCTCTTTTTGTACAGTTTATTTTTATGTGGTTTTAAAGTCCAAGATCAGTCCGGTTACAAACAGTGCGGATTCTTAAGGTTTCTTTTTCTTGTTACAATAAATAGTTGTTTTGCTAGAAACTATATTAATAATGAACAGAGAAATTTAAATATAAGTAGATTAGTTATTGAATGGTTTGAAACAAGTAATGATAATAGTTTGTTGTTATATGTTGTTTTAAAATTAAAGTGTAGTAATAATAGTCTAATAATGGAAGAAACAGAAAATTTGGGTAATACCAGAGTACAGTAATAGATTAGTAATCCGATATTCTAGAACAAAGCAATCACATGTTTCCACTTGTTTTCTTCTCTTTTTCTCTCTGTCTCCCCTATCCGTGTCCAGTCTTCCTTGGAGTACCGACGGGGTGCACCGATCATCATCATTCAAAAGTGAAGTGGTGGTGATGTATTTGGTCAATTCTCGACGTTTTCCTTCGGTCAGCAGCATGTTCCAATGTCGGACAGATTTGTGCTGTTCCTTTCGTGTAGGTGATTAAGGAAACCAATATTTCTTCGGCATAAAACAAAGGGTTCCAACGGAGAGTGGGTGCATTTTGGGAACGCAACCCCCCGTCGCGATTATGGGACCGACAAAAGCTAAGTGTCGACCCTCGGCACATTACAATAACAATATTCGTGTCATGCCTGATTTTCGAAAAACCGAAGGATTCCTCAACAGTTTTTTCCCGTCTGTTGTGTGTGTGTGTGTTTCTGTTTCCTTTTTCAACCTTCGAAATTGGAAGTATAAAAATCGGAATATATTTTTTGGTGACTTTTATAGACTTTCATTTCGAACGATCTCCGTCTAGTGAGTGTGTGTGTGTATATATAAATAAATTGGATGCCTTTTTTTAATGAGCTTTCTTGCCGACGTGCAGGACCTTCCGAGAAGCGAATCCGCACCTCCGGCACCGGAACAAATCGTTTGTGAGATGTTACGTGTTGTATTCCTTATACATTCTTTTTTTGAAGATTTTTTTTGTTCTTCCTTCAATTATCAGCGCAAAAGGATTGTAACTTAATATATCTGTGAGATTTCTACCAGATTGTTGCGTAAAAACCAGCACAGGTGCTCCTCATGCACCCTCATTGAAATTTGTAACTTTTATACCTACTTTTGCGAAAGAATGGGAAGGAGGAAAAAAGCTGTGCTGAAAAGAGTCTTTTTATACGGAGTATGGGAACGCACTTGACACTCGATCTTTCTTTGAACGCACCGAAAAATCCTCATAAACCGATTAAACAATTCATCCGGTCACCCAAAAAGAGCAAAAAAAAAGAAGTACACACAAAAAAAGATGAGACAAACAAACTTTTCCTCTCACAGTATAAATGTGTATAAAAATAAAATCCTTCTCTCGACAGGTTTCTTTTTTTATATTATATTTCGCTCTATTCTTGTTATTAATGATCCGTGTCGAATTATAAAACATATAAGGGATTTTTTTTTAACTGATATTTATTTTGCAAAATCGTGGCGGATAGCCGAGACGAAAGTTTCGGTTGAAGATGATGACTTCGTTTTTGTTTTGTACATCTTCAATCTGTTCTGTTGACTTCATTTTAAGTTCATCGGGATTTGTCGGTGTCTAAAAAGTTGATTGAATGTAGAAACCGTTGCTTCGGGATAATTGATCACTCAAAGCGTTTCTTAAACGCATCATTCATGTTGTTTAATCGACTAAAAGTTCGATTAGTTTCAATCATCATTAACAGTTTTTCTTTATATATATATTTTTTGGAATATAACATAAACATTTAGAAAAAATATTACATTTCAAATTTTTCATTACTTTAAGAAAATTAATAAAAAAAAAATGATTTATAGTATAAACAAACAAATTGAAACTTATAATGTTAATATAAAATTGATGGCATAGTACGGTTTCAATCAGTCCGGATTCATTATAGTCCAGTTGAGAATTTCAAAACAAACTAATTTTTTATTGAGCAAAATAAATTCTAAAAAATGGTACTTAAATTTATGTCTTTTTATACCAATGTTTTTATATGGTTTTAAACTTCTCGATTAGTCCGGTTTCAAACAGTCCGGACTATGCGAGGTATTGCTGTATATACAAATAGTAAGCACAATTTCAAGAAACTGAATATATTTACTTTAATGAATGTAGTTGTCATTAAACTTTCATTAGTTTCATGAAAAATTGCATAAAATTTAAACATGTTTCAAGAAAATGAATAAATAAAAGAAATGTTTGTGTAATTATTATATATTATCATAATAATTGTGTTTCATTAGATTTTGTAGTTGTAACGTGAATTCAATAATTCCAAACTAAATGAGAAATATCACTAATACATCCAACTTAACACTTTTATAAACTTATTAAACTCACTACTTTGTTGTACTAAATCTCATAAAATAATTAAGATTTTTTTTAAATAATTATTGTTAAATTCTTAATTAATAATGATTTGTGTAATGTTTTACGTTTTCACAACTTTGATTTGATTTAAATTTGTAATAACTTTCTATATTTGTGTGTATTTATAATTATATTATTTATAATTGATTTTAATACTATTTGTATGTCTAGCAACATATTTTTTGTTAAATTTGTCTTTTTCAGTTTTGTGTTTTCTTATTTTTATCGACAGATGTCCTTTTCATTGGCCAGAATCCTGTATGATCCTTTGAACAAGGATTCCCCAGCATATCAGTATATATTATATTGGTATTGTTATATATGCAATATTGTATGCACCTAAGTATAATCTTTTAACATATGTAACTAAAGTTACTTTCATTACAATTTTATAAAAAATATATTTTTAAATGTGTGTCTATGGTCGCCTGTATCACAAAATCTGATACAAACAATTTTGGGGCTGACAGGGGGTAGAAATAGGGCCGAAAGAGACAAAATAAATAAAAATGCGTTACAGACAATTTTGAACATGATTAAATATATAAATTAAACCTTTGGGTTATTGTTTGGCATACAATTTTGCTAATACATACAAAAATCATAAATTTAGTAAACTTACTAAACTAAACTGATTTAGGTGAATACACAACTACTATATATTTTTATTACTTGAAGTTTACTATTATTTTACTTTAACATAACTTTATTGATATTAATAAGAAAACTTAGACGCAGCTAAATGGTAGAGGCTATTCCAAGAGTGATGAAACAGGAGGAAGAAAACGTATGCTTGCTTGTGAGCTGTTGCTCATTTAGCCAGCAAAAAGTTTACTATACAAATAAGAATATTTATTGTTTATAGATATCCTTCATATATACATGTAGTGTGTAGCGGTGGCAATCGCAAGCCCGACAACCGAAATCCCGACGTTCGAAATCCAGAGTGTATCAAAATCCCGTCGTTCGAAATCCCGGATGGATCAAAATCCCGACGTTCGTAATCCCGACAATCAAAATCCCGACAGTGTCTTTTATTATTATAAATTTCTACAATACCATTTTTATGGTAGTCGGGATTTCGAAATAGTGGGGATTTTGATTGTCGGGATTATGGTCGTCGGGATTTTAACATAGTCGGGATTTCAAGCGTCGGGATTTTAATACAGTCGGGATTTCGATACACTCGGGCTTTCAAACGTCGGGATTTCAATAGACGGTCTTTCGGTTGTCGGGCATGCGATATAGACCCGTGTGTAGAGGTGTTTCATAGACAGAGGTGAAGTTTTTTTTAGCAGAAGAAGGAATGAACTATTTAATGTAATTAGTAGTTATTTTTTATTATGATTATAGTCTAGAAGTTAACTAGTTAAACACAAACCAAATCGAAGAACTGTAGAAATTGAAGCTGGTGTTAAAATGTACAGTTTGTACCTTGTTAAGTGACATTAAAAAAATATACTTCAGATATTATGGTGAGTACACACTTACTAAATATGTTTCTAATGTAAAGTTTACTATAAACAAAACATGAAATTTTATAGATAGAAGTCCTTTATAAATGTATGTCTAGTAATTTTTGTTATGATTACATTCTTAACTTGTACTTACACTAAGCAAAAAGAATAATTGTAGGAAACACTTTTAGTTATTAAAACAAATTAATTCTACTAATTTATATGACTAATGTCTTAAAATTAACAAAAGTCAAGAGAATTTCTTATTTTTTTCATTAAGATTTTTGAAAGTTAATGTTAATTAATATAGTAATTATATAGTTTAATAGTAGGAAACGAAAAATCATAAATAAGACATGAATATAATACTAGTATTTATGCAATATATTTATTTGCAAAGCTATATCGAATATATAAAAGCAATCGTTGTTAACAAATCATTTCAATTGTAAGGGCACAAAACAGAGTCGTGTTTGTCGGAAACCAACTGAGCGTGTTCAACCAAATTGAGGCTGTATTTTCCATTTTTTGAAGTACTTTCCGGTCCATTCAAAGCGTAATCCCTTATGAATTTGACGGTTAACGTCAAATCGAATACGGACATCGTCAACCTATGACCCCAAGCAACCAGTCCTAGAGGCTGTAAAATAATACAAAATTTATTTAAAAAGCTGAAAACTTCATAAAAAATTGAAATTGTATACTCTATCAGGAGTTAAATCGGAATTGGAGGAGATGACGTGCTTGTACAAGCAACTCTTCACAACCCTCTTCATAGCCCTGACTTCGTTCTTATCGGCGCAAGGATGGTACAGCATGGTCACAGCTCCGTGCTCCAAGTTATGCAACCAACGTTGCTTAGGTAAAAAGGTATACTCTCCGAATTTAGCCCACAAAGGTCTATGTGATCCACTGAAAATTAACTTAATTTAAGTAATTCTTAGTTTTGCATTAATTGACTAATATTTATACTTACAAAGTAGGAATCTTGTGCTTATATCTAATCACATTATCCATACACAAATGATGTGCCTATAAACAAATGACCAATTTAATAACAAATGGATACAATGCAAAATTGTTCTTACATTATATCCTTTAGGAATGGCTTCGTGCTCTAAAATTGGATGCACATTGTAATTAGGTGCATACAAAGCTCTGTTATCGAAGCAAGTAAAGTTCATTGGGCTTCCATCATAATCAACATCCAATCTACTCTGTAATAATAATAATACAATTTTAATAACAATTCCATGATAAATTAATAAACTGACTTCTCCATCATCACAGGCTGAATTGGGAATTCCCATTTTGATACCATGCTTCTTGTCATACAAATTGACTAGTGGATCATTAGGTCCAGGAAAATACTTCCCAGTCCATGCTTCCTCTTCCTCTGCAACTGCACAAAAACAATCTATTAACAAGAAAAGAACAGTATATGTATGTTGATTAACTTACTAGCAGAGATGACAATGAAAAATACTACTGTAAATGCAAACTTGAACATATCTCTCAGCTGTCCTTCCTAATACT